GGGTATAGTGACATGGACCTGTAGTCCCAGCCATTCAGGAGGTTGAGGCAGGAGAATGGCTTGAGCCCAGGAGTTTGAGGCTGGAGTGAGTGAGGATCACACCACTGCACTCCAGCCTGGGTGACAGAGTGAGACACTGTCTCAAAATGAAACAAAACAAATGTCGTATTTGCATTCTCACTCTTTCCTCTCTCCATGATCACATCTTCTCTCTAGTTTTAAATGCCTCACCATTAATTCTCTCAGAGTTCCTTGGAGAGAGGTCATGATCTCATCACTCTGAATTCTCCAAAACTAATCATAGAGTCTTAGAGTTGGAAGGGACCCAGAAGTCCAATGGGTTCCAAACTTCTTTTTAGTCAGGGACTCTTTTCTGCAACCAAATCTTATGTGGAACATCAATATATATGTTAACTAGCTGTTGGGGCCTGGCCATGTAACCCCACAGATTCTGCAGAATATAGACGGAAAACCCCTTATGGACACAAGACTTCAGAGGTTTCAAAGAGAAAGATCTGAATGATGGAGGGTCCCACCCAGTGGGGTGCCTTGGGTGATTATCAAGGCATTGATATCTTTGCCATTCCCGGTTTCCAAGCTCTGGACACAATCTGAGTGCTGGTGCTACCCAGGGGACAGGCTGCAACCACAGCAGCCCTGCCCACAGACCCCAGGAGGTTGCCATAGATACTGAAGTGGAGGGAGCTGATGAGCCTGTTATTATTTGTGTGTATCTTCCCTCTAATTGCTGTGGGGTAGATGGAGGTTGTGTGGGCACTACAGCAGTGCGGATAGAGGAGGGTGTGTGTGTGCGAGGGTGTGTATTTGTGTGTGCACACAGATTTGTCTATAGGCTCCGAACTACCACCGTGGATGCGTCAGAGGCTGTGCTGCAGAGAGAAGTAGTGAGGGAGGAAGGGAGAAGTGAGGTAGAGATAGAAAGAAAAACGGAGGCTGGACAAAGTGGTTTATGCCTATAATCCCAGTACTTTGGGAGGCCAAGACAGGATGATTGCTTAAGTCTAGGAGTTTGAGACCAACCTGGTCAAAATTGTGAGACCTCATCTCTACAAAAAATTTTAAAACTAGCTGAGTGTGGTGGCACATGCCTGTAGTCCTAGCTACTCAGGAGACTGAGGCTGCAGTGAGCCGTGATAGTACTACTGCACTCTAATCTGGGCGACAGAGTGAGGCCCTGTCTCAGGGGGAAAAAAAAGACAACGGATCGAGTTTTCTTCTAATCGTGTGAATTCTAATTTTCTACTTTATTGGATGTTTTACAAAGTAAAAGGCAGTACCTAGCCTATGGTAGGCAGTGATATTTGTTGAAAGACAGCTAGCTCCACTTACATAGAGCTGTGAGTCACCCCTGAGGCTTCACCCCAATATTTTTCTCATCACTCTTCTTTTTACCTAGAGACACAATACAAAGTGCTTTATATGGTTACCCCGGAACACCCAGTGTTGAACCTTCCCCTCAGCCAGGATGCTGTTGCTCTCACAGCAGGCATGTGAGACTGGTCAGGGTTGCAGTCCTGTCTTACATTTGCCCCAGGATACTCCTAGGGGACTCCATGGCAGCCCTCTTCTGTGCTTATTCTGACCTCTCCCCATCTCCTCATTCCACCTTCCATTCATGAATAGAAAGTTTCAAATATCAGCCTGGAGGTCAGGAACCAAGTTGCCTCAAGCACTTGGGAAGGGCACATTGATAATCAACTGATATTCGAGGTCGCTTCTGCCTTGAAGATGGATGACAGAAACTCAACAATTACTGGCATCCCCATGTAGGCAATCTCATTGCTTTACCGGACACTAGGACTTGGGACCTGGCTCTCACCCAGGTGCTTTGAGATAGGAAGTGGCCTTACTCTCCAACTCTCCATTTTGCTTCCTGTCGCCCTGGGGAAGGGTGGGGCATGGTTTGGCACCTTATCCCTTCCCTTGGCCCTCTCTACCCTCCTCCCAAGAGAACTGCTAATGCTTTTCCTTTAGGGCTTCGCCACCTCCCATTCCCTAATCATCCCTACTGGGCAGTCTGATTCCCAAAGCAGCTCACGGGGCTCTTGGGTCAGGACAGGAGGGGAGCCCTCCCAGAGAGCTCTGTCTCACCCACCCCTCAGGAAGGCAGCTTTGGAGGCTGGGACACCTCTCAGCTCCCTCCTCTGGCAGTGTCCTGCTGTAATCAAGACTGAGCTGCAGCCTCTGGCTGAGTACCATCCTGCCCAGCTGGAGCTGGGCCAGGCCTCAGGGGACAGCTGCCCAGGCAGGTTAGGAACCTGCCTAGCCTGTTTGTCCCCCATTGAAACAGTTATGTGCCTCTGTCCCACCAACTTCTGATGTGGGGACAGAAGAAGGGGTGATATCTCCCTCTGCCATCCCACAAACAGTTACTGAGGGTCTGGGGCTGAGTGTACAATGGTGAACAAAAGGCACAGAGGCCCCACCTTATTGGAGCCTACAATTCAGTGGGAGGGCAAATATGAAACAAATAATAACAGCAAACGTAGTTCTAATTAGGTACCAGGTACTAGTCTAAGTGCTTTAGCCCATTTAATGCTCACAGGCCTACAAGATAGATAATATTATTATTCCCGGCCGGGTGCGATGTCTCACGCCTATAATCCCAGCACTTTGGGAGGCCAAGGTGGGCAAATCAGCTGAGGTCAGGACCAGACTGACTAACATGGTGAAACCCCGTTTCTACTAAAAATACAAAAAATTAGTGGGGCATTGTGGCATACCGGTAATCCCAGCTTCTTGGGAGGCTGGGGCAGGAGAATAGCTTGAACCTGGGAGGTGGAGGTTGCAGTGAGCCGAGATCACACCATTGCACTCCAGCTTAGGCAACAACAGTGAAACTCCATCTCAAAATAATAATAATAGTAATAACATTAAGTGACTTACCCAAGGTCACAGAGCTGGTCAGTGAGTTGCCCAGAAATCCAAGCCAGGCAGTTTGATGCAAGTCACTGTTAGACAGCTATGCAATAGCTCTACTGTCCCTCATACCAGTCAATGCACTACAAAACGTGGTAAGTGTCAGAAAATAAAAGCACGAGGGTGCCCTGCAAGAAAATGGGGATTTCCTCTTTCTTCCACTTTCTCTTCTAGCCCCCACTACACAAAGCCTTTTTAAGTCTTCCCACTTCATCCCTTTCATTGCTGGCCGGATAGAGAACACTCTTTCATCCCTGCAGCTGTGGTGCAGGAAGGCAGAGTCCTACCTGCATCCTTGCCCCTGGCCTGGTCTCCCTGATCAAACCTCGCCTGAAGGGTTTCTTTCTAATAATGGCCCTGGTGCTTGCGCAAGTCTAGACTGTCAGCTCCCAGAGGGAAGGTGGCTGGCAGCTGGCTCAGCGCAGGCTGGGGGCGCCTCTGGGCGTGCAGCCTCGCATAGCTTCTTGACCTTGGATCTCGCTCCACATGCTAGGGACCCGGTTGGGGGCTCGGGACCCTCGTGTGGGGCCCCTCAGAGAGCTCGGTGGTCCAGACCCCTACACTTCTAACGCACCCTCGCACGCACGTTCCTGAGCCCGCGCAGGGTGCGCCCCGAGATGAGCCCATAGGTCGCGAATCTTCCAGTTCCGTCCGCCCGGCGGGCGGCCCGGAGCGAGGGCCCCCTCCCCTCGGCTGCCGGGCGCGCCAGGCCCAGCGCGGGCGGCTCTGGCGAGGGGCGGGGCCCGCGGCGGGAGGCCCCTCCCCGGGGGCGGGCCGGGGGCCGGGCGGGGGGGCCGGTGGGGCTGGGGGCGGGGCGGGCGGGCGGCGCGGGGGTGTCCCTCCCTCCCTCGCTCTCCCCGGTAAAGTCTCGCGGTGCTGCCGGGCTCAGCCCCGTCTCCTCCTCTTGCTCCCTCGGCCGGGCGGCGGTGACTGTGCACCGACGTCGGCGCGGGCTGCACAGCCGAGTCCGCCCGCCCGCCAGCATGGCCACCACTGCCACCTGCACCCGCTTCACCGACGACTACCAGCTCTTCGAGGAGCTCGGCAAGTACGGCCCGCCCGCCGCCCGCCGCGGTCCCCCGCCTGCCCTGCCGCCCGGGCGCTATGCGGCTCCTCGCCCCGCCCCCCGGCCCTTCACCGGCTGCTGCGGCGCCCCCTCGGCCGCCCCACCCCGGCCTTTCCCGCCCGCCGTCTCCCGGCCCCGCGCCCCCCGGCCCCGCGCCCCCCGCGCCTTGCCCCGCAGCCCCTCCGCACTCTGCAGCAGCTGGCGGGGCCGCTGCACCCCGGGCGCCGCCGCGGGCACTGCAGCCCCCGGACCGCTCCCGGGCGCCCTCCAGCCCCGCCCCTCCGCACCATTCAGGCGCCCCCTCCCGACCACCTCCCCACGCTGCCCGGGAGCTCACTCCGCACCCTGAACCCAGGTCCCACGCGCCTCGCACTCAGGAGCCTCCCCGGCCCTGCGGCCCCAGCCCCGCTGCGGAGCCCGGGCGTTGGGGGGGCCGTTTGGCACCCGGCCCCGCCCCCCGCGAGTGCAGCTCCAGGCTCCCAGCCCGGCGTCTGGGCAGTGCTGCGGCACCCCCGTCCCCTCCCCCCACCCCTGCAGTGGTCCCAGGAGCCGCGCCGCAGCCGCAGCATCCCCCTCCCCTACGCACTGAGCTGGCCGCTGCAGCAGCCCCGGCCCTCCACCCCCACCCGCGCCGCCGAGCCTGGCCACTGCAGCCCCTGCCCCGCCCGCCCCCCTAGACGTTTCCAGAGCCGAGAGTGCGAGCTCCCATTTTGGGGGGACGTCAAGGAAAATAGCATGGGAAGGGGAGCTCTTGATGTCAGACTGTGTCCTCTCTTCCTTTGCTGTCAGTTGAGCGGGATGCAGTGAGGTGAAGCCAGTTGTGGGGGATTTGAGCCTCACTTTGCCCCATGGTTAAGGGAGATTACTTTTTCAGGGGATGATACCTCTTGTTGATCTCTCCTTCCCCTACCCTCAGATGTTCCTGCCGAGAGTAGGGCAGGGTCTCTCTGGTCCCTTCTGCCCTGGTTCTCTTGGGTGGGACCGCAGGGCTGTCTGAAATGCAGCAGGTGTGTGTTTTCAGCGTCGCCCACCCGGAGGCTGTTGCCTTGCCCAGGGACTGGATGAGAGAGTGGGAGGGCAGCAGGCCACCAACATCTGTTCAGTGTCCTGCGGTGGCCACGTCCTTCTGCCTCGGGTTGGATGGTGGTGGTCGCAGCGCCGGGGTGTGTGTGTGTATGTGAGTGTAACTAGAGGTCTGGTGATGGGAGCATCATTGTCCCCAGACCTGAAGTGTGTCTGTGTCACTGCCCTGCTCCGTGTCCCAGTTCTTTCCCCCTTCTCCCTCCAGGGGTGCTTTCTCTGTGGTCCGCAGGTGTGTGAAGAAAACCTCCACGCAGGAGTATGCAGCAAAAATTATCAATACCAAGAAGTTGTCTGCCCGGGGTGAGTGTTCCCTGTCTTGGCCTTTTCCTGAGGGTGCCTCCAACGGCCATGGCTTCATCTGAACAAGCCCCAGGAATTGGGGGTTGTGCCTTTTAGTACTTGAAGAGGACTTGGAATTTCAGACTGGTTGGACTTTGAAGCCAGGAAAGGAGTTGCGGTGGAGGTGGGGAAGGGGTGGAGGGGACTGGAAGTGCTCAGGTAGCAAAGAATGAAGTAAGAAATGCAGGTAGCTACAGTGGCCCCTAAAGGCTCAAGGGAGTTGTCTTCAGGGAGGTGGAGGATATGGGAGTAGTGGGTGGCACGAAAGGGAGAACTCTTAATTTGGGGCATTTGGAGCCTCTCCCTTTGGGGCAGTGGTGGCCACAACAGGCATTTCCTGGTCCCTTTGCTCCCGTGGTGACTTAGGATGGAAATGCAGTAAGTGAGCATCTCTAACAAAGCCAGCCTCCCCTGCCCACCAGGCGGCAGAACAGACTCCCAAGGGAAGGGAATCTGTAAACGTCAGGGGAGGCTGCTATGGCGAGGGCATCTCAGGAACAAATTCTGCCAGATGAACTTGATTGCTTTTTTGATCAAATTACAAAGTTGGTGGTGCAGCAGCAGATGTAGTCTGTCCTGGGTGGAGGGTGATGCTTCATGGTCTAGAAATCCCAATGGTCCAGTTTGGGCAGGGACTGCACTACCTCGGAGTCTGAGGAACATAAAGGCCCAGGCCTTGGGGCCTCATTTTCGAGATCCTCCCAAGTACCTGAGGTGGGCGGGGGTGTTGGGGGGGGTGGTCAGGGCCTGTCTTTCACACCTTGAACCTGCACTCTCTGAACCTCCTATTGGGTGCTTGCCAAACTTACCTCATCTGATAGGTGTAGACCCAGCAATGTGTGAAGTGCTCTGTGAACACGTCTGGTGAGTATAGAGGTCAGATCTTGGAGGGCTGCAGGGCGCAGCTGGGGAACAAAGGTTATGAGATGCAGAGAAGGGAATTAGGGCTGGACAGTTGGATGCCATAAATACATTAGGAGCCAGGACACATGCCCTGGGGAAGACATGGGCTTTGGCCAATAATGACACGGGCTTCTCTGGGATAAGAGACATAGTAGATGTCCCAAGGGCTCAGAGAAGCTCTAAAATTCCATGGAGATGACAGTGGGCTTCTGTCATGTTGGCAGTTGTTCTGGGACCTGTTTAGCAGGGCCATCTTCACCCCCCGGCTGGGTACTCTCTCTCCATCCCCCCAGTAGGGCACGAATTGCTGACTCCCATCCAGCTCAATCTCTTGCTGTTCGTGTGCATTGCCTATAAAGTTGGACTTGTTTGTTTTCTTTCTCTCTGGGTACCTTGAGTCTGAGGATGGTTGCCATAGAGATATGTGGGCAGTCAAATGCCCTCCTCCCCTGGGGAGGAGGGGGCGCAGACAACAGGGGCTGAGCTCTCTGGCAGACATTCCCTGGCCAAGGATGGAAGGTGCAGGCAGGAACCATGGCTTCAGGCTGAATACCTCTCATGCTCACACAGCAGAGCCCTGGTGCATCAGAAACAGGGCTGGTGTCTGGTGTCTCCAGTTGATGACGCAATGCTTTTCTCTCCTTATCTCACCAGTGTTCTCTGACCCTGGAGTAAGGGAAGGAGAGACAGCCGGGAGCCAAATTCTGGGATGTGAGGATAGGTGACGTGGTGACTTCCTGCAGCTACCTGACTGGGGCTTTCATTTCCTACTCTTCCCCTACCCGCCTGAACTTCCATGACCTGTGTCATAGCATCCCGTTCCCTTCCTCACCTCCTTTCAACCTTGTCCCATCTTTCCCAGTGGATATCTTTCTTTCCCTGGCCAAATTGGATGAGGTTTGATTTCTCTTTGATTTTTTTTTTTTTCCCTCAAGAAGAGGATTCTTGTGTAAAAGTATATGCATCAGACAGAACTCCCCCTCTCCCGAGATGGCTATGCTAAGACTGGGCCCTGTTGTGTGGCCTTGTATGCCAGGTTGACTTTGGGACAGAGGCACAGATGATAGGCTCAGATGCCAGCCAGAGGGGTCAGAATGTGTAAGTGCCAGCCAGTACTGTGTGGAGGTGGGAGAGTAGGAAGGGGCTGTCTTGGAGATGGAGGGAACAGGGTGGTCTGGGCACAGGGGATGTGAGCTCCTGGAGAGAGCTGGGCCAGGGTAGCCATGGGCCGGTGCCCGTGGGGTTAGGAGTGAGGGCCCATGGCTTCCCTGAAGCCTCTCGGTTTACACTATATATTTTATAAAGGTGCAGCCGCTGGGGCTGGGTTTCACTCGTTGCTGTCTGTCTGTCAAGGGCTCTGCAGGTGTTGGATTTCTGTGTCTGGAAATGTCGTGGGCCCACCAGGGTCATCTGTGAAGGTCTGAAGGGGCTTGCTGTGTTTGCTGGGTCTTCCTGCCTACTGTCTTTCTTGTGATTCTCTGGGCTACAAACTGAAAAGAAAGAAAGAGGGTATAATGCTGTTTCTCCTTGGCATCCTTGGTGAGGTGGTCCAGGAGGCAGAGAGAGAGATCACCTGGTCTTCTAGGGGGTCCGACCTAGATGGGAAGCCTTCTTTTGGGCTGTTGTGTCTTGTCACTGTGGCCTCAGAGGCCCACATTGGCAGTTGGGGTGGCGAGGTGGGGAGTTCATGCAGATGTGCATTGAGCACTATCTTTGTCTGCCTGCCTGTCTACATAAAGTCACTGAAAGTCACATAACGTCACTCTATTTGCTTCAGAGCTGCTATACGAGTGGAGCTGGGCTCATAAGGGAGCCCGTGGTTCCAAGCTTAGCGCCGCTAGGCCGAAGGAGGCATTTAAAATAGGCTTGGATGCAGGAGCTAGTGGGCCAGGTGATGGCAATGATAAGTCGTTATTTTAAGATTTAAGAGCACCCCCCTCAAGGAGCCTGAGCCCTTATGTCTTTTTTTATTTTTAAATCTTCATATTCCCTTCTTATCTTTATTCATATGCATACAGATTTTCACCTCGTGGAGCATAACATTTTATATCCTGCTCTCTTTGCTTGTATCCAAAGCATTTCCCCCATATTGCTACAGTTGAAGGGCAAATGGTCTTTTCTTCTACATGGTTTAGGATTTATCCCTAAAACTATCAGCATCACAAGAAACTTCTGTATTTGTACAATTTATCTGGATTCTAGTTGCTTTCTGGAATCCAGATGGATTTATCCGAGATGGTTACTGGGGTAATGCCCTTGGCCTTACTAAGAGATACTACCGGAAGCAGTGTTATGAAATCTGTTATAACACTTAAGTGTATTTAATCTGTACACCCTGTTTGAAGAAACTTCTTTTGAAGCTAAATGTAAGCAAAAGCTTTCCTCTTTGTGAGGACCTGGGAGGTGAGGGAAGGGTCCTTATGTGCTTCTTCACTTCTGCGTGGGTAGGCCCTAGTGAAGTGCCTGACGTATGCTAGCCACATATGCATTAAATGAATGGGTCAAGAGGACTGTGTAACCAATCGTGGTTGCCTTTTGGCTTTGGCTCCCAGGAAACTCAGTCAAGTTGCCAAAGCCCTTGTACCCAGCTCCTGGCTTGGGTCCCCCGTTCTGATCCAGGGAGCCAGGTTGCAGACCTGATACGGCTGCTGGAAGAGAGGACAGATGAGGATAAAGACCTGTGTTAGGGGCATAAGGCAGAGTGGGAGATGTAGGCAGACAGTTAGCTGATGATTCCTCCTTCCTTGTCACCAAGGGCACCATAGGGCCACTGTTGGGATCTCTTCCAAGCAGTGATTTTCAATTTTAGTGTGCATAAGGATCACCCTGAGAACTGGTTTAAAAAATGCAGATTTCTGGGCTTTATCTACAGATTCTACTTCAGGAAGTCTAGGGCGGGGCCACAGAATCTGCATTTTAAACACATGCTCCAGTGAATTTCATGCAGGTGAGGCATGAGCCACTCTTTAACAGATGCCACCTAAAATCTGCAACAACAATGACAGTTGCTCTTGCCATGCCCTCTGGAATTCAATAGACACACCTTGGCCCAGCCTTCTCCAGATTGTGCCTCTGCTGCTGTGTGGCCATCTGTGCACATGGGCTGTTCTGTGATTAGGGGACTCATTCTGGGCCTCCGAATTGAGGTGTCTGTGTCTGAGGCTAAGGCAGGCTGGGTGGCTGGGGTTGTGGCATGTTGGCCACCAGAAGGGTAAAGGCTGTCCCTTTCTGGGTCCAGCTGGCCCTGGGGACTGAAATGGGATCCCCCTGGATGGTGCCCGCTAAGAGTCCCCGCCTCTCCCAGTGTTGGCCTGAGTAGCCCCCATGACATTTGTGTCCCCTGTGGTATCTCCAAGTGAGACTTTCCTGTTAAGGACCTGGGTGAAGTGAGGGAAAGAGAAGGGAGGGGGAAGTAGCAATGCAGGGAGTGGGAGAAGGAAGAGAAATCCACGCAGCACTGGAACACGGGCCTCGAGGAAGCATTTAGTGGGGTGTTTGCAAAACCATGCTTTCCTCCTAAAGATAAAACAGGCCAATTTCTGTAAAACAGAGAAATGGGCATCCTGCATATCAGCGATGGAACTCCTCTACCTCTCTCCTGAAGGGATGGAAGCCGACTGCAGGTCCCTCCTCTGTGTAAAGGCTTCTGCTGGGTGGCTTTTGTCATACGGTCACATTGAGCTGTGGGCCTTAGTGCACACAACACTAGCCTGACCCCTCCCCTCTCACCTGCCTTCCCGGAGTGACTTGGGGTGCCACATCAGGGGGTGGGGACGGAGGTGGGAAGGTGGCCCTATTCAGTCAAGGAGGCCCCTGCCTTCTTGCTGCTTCCTCTGGTCACTTCGCATCATACCCTTGTCAGAAGCTGTGCTGAAACCCTAGAGGTGAGTGGCTGACCCCATTCTCTGCCAAGGCTGGAGACATGGAAGGAGAGGCTGGGTATGATCGTTCCTGTCCCCATCTCTGTGCTTGCTGCTCTCTGAACAGCTTTGGCAGACTAACAAGGGCCTGATCCCATGGATGCCAAAAGGATGGTGACAGGAGGAGATGGGCACTTT